CATTATTTCTTGGAAGTATCGCAATCGCAATCTCACAGTTTTCGATTACATCAATGAAATCAATCAAGCAGTCTTCCTCAATTCGTGTTATTTGTTGTTGCATGAAAAAATCTGCCCCACTTCATAAATTTGCACACATTTGGTACAGAATGGACTATTTGCTGATTCAATCAACATGCAGTGCTGCCAAAAAACTGCATCTTTCAGAGCAAATGTCGAGATTACTGCTCATCAGTCATCAATATAAATCTTTCATGAAGGCACCATTTAGTGTATTTCTTATCAATAAGAAATTTTTATCAATCATCAGTGAAAATGTTAGAGTGAAGAGAAAAGAATGTGAAATTTGGGTTGGTTTCACTGATTTCCATCATGCACATTCGCTCTCCGAAACGGTGAAGATTAATGTAAAGACTGATATTATGGGACTGATCGATCATGAATATTTCAGAGAGACTGATAAATTGATTACGAATGAAAACATTTACTGATTAAGCGGAATCAGACACGCCTCGTTAGCACTTGCTTTATTTAAGAAGCATAATCTCTACTAGTACTTTCAGTGCTTCCTGAAGCTTTTGTTTAGTTCACAATGTCCTAGTTTATCGTCATTTCTTACTGTAGAATTTTCTCACATCGGTCAGATTTCTCATTGTTCATTTTGTATCGACTCAGAATGGATTAATTCGATTTCCGCGAGAAATTCATCGCTATAGAATAGAATGTATAGAGTTTTGGTTATTCACAAATCTACTGAATAGCGACGATCCGAGTGAAGAAAATGTAAACGTAGAGTGCAAGAGAACCGAATAATTAATCAGGTGAATTCTCTACGGAGGCAGTTCTCTGCTCATTTGAGCTATGAAATTCGATAAGAATGTACACATCGCTTGTTGCGAAATTCACCATAGTCGAGTATGATTCGTCATTTGAGGTGATAACAGAATATCGCAGGTAAATATTTATTCACAATTAAGTGAAATATCTAATGCGATCAGCTGTTAATAATTAATACATTTCGAGTGTCTTTTGTGAACGAACACATAAAGGTGCGAAAAAGCTAAAATTAATCAAAAAATATCAAGTTTCCATGAGAAACTCCCTGGATAGTGGTGGATGATATGCACACAAAATACACACACCTACACACTCAACTATTGTTCTCGGCCTTAAATACGGCTCTAGGCAACCGTATCCTTAATCGAAGCTTTATTCTTCTGTCAGCCCAGTTATTGCTTCTTATTTGATATTTTGAACGAATACGACGGTCGTTTCATGCTTCGGTTTCGAATGCTATTGGAGTATCGCGAATGTTGATTGTGACTTCAAGTTATGATCCGCGCGAGAGTTATGACTAATTGGCAACTGCCAGGATCGGTGGTTGAGAGAGGATCCCGACTGGTATGGTCGAGACAAGATTCCATTATATCTAGCTTCTAGATATCGAAAAAAAATTGAAAGTTTGCACGGGAAATAATGATTCATCGTGAATCATTACAATTTTGTTTTTTAGATTTCTGTGAATTTTCACTTAATGCAACCGAAATTATATCGTCGAACGAATATTTTCGATGTGCGTACAATTGATGCACCATCTACAGTTGCCGTATGGTTGATAGTTACCGTAATTTTTTAGTAGCAACGAGTTAATAGTTCCGTACCGTATCTAGTGCATAACAGTGCAGTTACAGTATACCAGTGCTGATAGTTTTTACAGTTTTACAGTGGTTCATCAAGAGAGACTGCAAAATCAAGATTTATTGAGAATGCGACTTGCATCTGCTAACATCGAAACAACCGTTACTGTTGTCAAACAAGGTTTGTTTATCGTTGCGTGTCTACAGTACACCAGTGCTTACAGTATACCAGCGATTAAGTTCTTCTCAAGAATGTCAGTTGTTGCCTTGCTTTATAAGATTCGTCAGCCAAAAATTTCCCCAAAAGTGTTCATGTTTAATAGGTTTACCGTTCAAATCATAGTTATGCGGATGTGGACTTCATTTGATCTTCATCTTCAATGTTTTCGCAAAAAAATGAAAATGTTGTGGCATTCCTTATAAATATTGCTGGTGAAATGGCCTTTACTAGGACCGAATGCAAATTCGATAGGCATGTTTCTGTTCTTCAGATAATGCGAAGAAATGCCCGACGCAAGAAACGTGCAAGACCGCGAAGATCACTTTGAGTCCATCTCGAAACAGGTAGATCTTCCGATATATCCCATCCTCAAGGATGCAGATTTCAGAGAGACTGCAAAAATTTTCGTCAACAAGAGATTGAAACTTGATCAGCATTAGTGTAGGATACCTCCAAGAAAGGATGGATAAACATGATAGTGACGATAATTTTGCTTTGATTATAATCACGAAAAGAATCTTAGCCGAAAGGAGCCTCAATGAGTGGTCAATATAATGAGAATTCCATCGATTTTCATTGGAATCTACGAGCATAGAACTGTGAATAATGCCGGGCGGTTCCCAAATGAAATTTTTATTTTGCAATACCCACCAACCTTGAGAATGATCTCGATTTGACTTCAGTGATCAATCGAATACACTCGCTCCGATTGCCTCAACTGGTCGGCGATATTCGTACAATGGACGAGCAACAATTCAACAACCGTCACCTGAGGGTATGCCAAATTATGAATTCGCTGATGCAAACCGCATATTTGAGAATATCTCACTGTTCACTACAAGCTCTCGTTTTTCTTACATAATTATACTGAAGTGCAAATTGCAGTATTTGATCAGTGGTGTACAATACTTCCATATGTTCGAGTTCTTGCAGACATGGCGACTGGAAAATGGTTCCCAAAACACATCAGTGATTTGGACTATTGCAGTCAAAATGTTATCATGTTCGGTCCGGGTCCGGACGGTTTGCACGCAGATCATCCGGTACGATCTGTAAACTTGGCCTTGCTTAAGAAATAGGATTTATCAGCGCGTTTGTTAACCGGAAGCTGAGTGGCGTGTTCAAAAATGCATTTTTCGTGTTTGTAAACGTACACTCTTGAGTTGCTCTTATGCTCCACATTTTGCTCTCATCAGATGTTACTGTAAGTGTCTGCTGCACCTAAATATCTGCTACACCTCTAA